TTATCTATTTTTTTGGGAGCTAAACTATTCTTCCAAAATATTTTGTGACATATTTATATGTAAAATAACGAAAGCACACAGACTCTCAGTTAAGATTATTTTATGGTATAAACTAAACTGAACGGAAGTGATTTTGACGAGATTGAAGCTCGGCAAAAATCGCATACATTTACACCCACACACATTTTATTTATTTATTTATTTAATTATTAATGGTCGACAAAACGAGTGTCTTCCTCATTATTCAAAAGATTGTACAATATAATTATATGCTAAAAGCCTAGTTAAAGGATACAATTTTCTAAATAGCATCACCGACCGATGGAGGTGTTTTATTTGCCAGTCCGGCCAGCTGTGCCCCTTTTCACAGCTAATTTTGTCAGTGACGCTATTGGAGCCTACATCTAAGCAGAAGGTTGTAAGTAGGAAAAAAAGTGATCTCAAGTAAAATTAAAAATAATCCTAATTTGCCATATTAATAAAGAAAATACAATAAATAGGAAAAAAGAAAGTAAGAAGATTGTTAATAAAGTAAAGCAGTGTAAGTTAGATAAAGAGTGTTAAGTAGATAGGACAAACATACACCCAATCTCAAAATGAAAATGTCAAAAACAACTACAACGAATTGCGTATTGCTTTATTTTTGTTGTTTATATAACATATTTTTTTTTGCATTTTGCTTTTGAATAGGTCTACACATCATCCAAATGTTCGCGTTGAAATTGCCAACCCTTTTTTGCCGACTTTTGTTGCTTGTTTTTTGAACTTCCGTCTGCCATGAAATATGTAGCTTTATTTTTGCTATATGAATCCATTCGCATGGCTGTGAATCTGTATATGTGTGTGTGCTTGTAGGATATGCGTATGTGTGCCTTTTAATTGTCGCAGGATTTAACGGAGAGTACCTGTGTTAGCAGTTCATTTGTTGCCCAAATAACTGTTCATTTTGTTAATAGATTCTTATGAAAATGTCAGACCAGACGGCGCCAATCTAAAATCGCATTAGGCGGTCTGGAAAACTCTTCGCTTTTCAGAGTAAACAACACTGCATTTTTCACTTTACTTAGAAGTGGCAGCGCCCACAAATCTGACCGGAAATGAGAACTAAAATTACCAAAAGTCATGAATCAAGCAAAAAGTTAATTCAGGAAAAGAATAAAGAACACCTGAAGCCGCAACACGGGACACATGTGGAAACAAAACAAAAAGAATGCAAATCATTGCATGTCCTCAGGGCTGAGACAGTGCAACTGTAGGCGACTCCCGGGCCCTTCATAATGTATGTATATATGGAGCAGAACTAATTGTGGGCAAAGCAATTAGCAGGAAATATATTTAAGACTCAACACTTTACTAATCTGCAAGTGTCAAGCGGTGGAAGCCGGCACCGGCGCGTTCCCTCCGCTAGAATAACGAACCAGCAACCGCACAATCATAATGGTGGTAAAGGAGTTGACGTAGGCAGACTGTCAGACTGGTTGGCTGGCTGGCTGGTATTCAGGGTTGAAGTGTGCGTTCCAAGTAAAAAACGCAGCACCAGCATAGAGCACATGGCTGGAATCAGAATTCGCTTGAACTGCAAGGGGTTGACTCAGACAGGGGAGAGGAGCAGCGACAGGGTATATACATATAAGGTCCTGGTTGGTGCGATGACAACAGGTCTCCGTCTTTCCACGGGCACTGGCTCAACAATGTGTATTTCTTTGGCTATCCCATTGTGTGCTACCTTTTCGCATAATGAAATATAAGTACCATAAGACGTTTGATATCAAAGGACATTCGATCGGGCATGCAACATGCGCTCATTGCTGCGCCTTTACCTTTGTCTTCTCGTCGTTGTTCTTGTTGTCATTTCGTTAAGCGTTTTTTTCGTATTAATGCCAAAGATTCCATGTTGATCTCGCATATCTTTCATCTTGACGGTAGATGGAGCCGGGTCGTGCGTGCTTCCCACGTCGTTGACATACGATACGAACTGAAAACTGAATTTGAAATCAAAATGCCGTCAGTCAGACATGACAATGCATTAATTAAATCATGAACCAAGACAAATAAAATATTAATTCATAAAGCGCTCAATTTGTATTGGATAAATAAGATCTAAGCCCAAATCTAGATAATGCTGTTGACAAGTTTAACATCGCTTCTCTGGTAGTCGGGAACACGCTTGCCCATTGTGCCCACGCATGATGCCCGAATGCCGATAAGCCATGCCCAAGAACTTCTCCCATTCATACATTTCATCGATCAGGCAGTTAGCGCTCTTGATGAGGGTTCATTTTGATAATTGAAACAAAAAACATATTGCGCATACACACTCGAATTTCAAAACCATTCGAGATTGATCGCAACTCCATTCACTTGTTCGATTCAAATAGATGCCCATAGAAAACCCTTTCTTTGATTTTTTTATTTTGCCAGTCTGTACCTCTATTCCATTCTACCATAACTACGCTGAAAAGAACATTTCGTGGAAGTTAATTCTCATATTTTTGCTATTTAAACAAAACCTAACTGAGTGCTCAACATATTCTATGCGCCTTTTTGTTAGAAATCTTAGAATATCTCCCGCATGATTACATCGTTCGACTGAATCACTTGTCTAGCGCCCCCATTTGTTCCCCTTTTTGGGGGGCTATTCAAGTGTGGAATCAATTGTTATATAGAGCTGGCAGTTAGCAGTTAGCGCATCAGGTGCCGTCACATTATTGTCCTGATTTATGTGCCTTGAATTGGTTTGTATTCGTTTTGTATTCAATTTCAATCAGCCATGTATCCTTGAGTGGAAGCTTACATTGGTATTGGCCTTCCCACGGCCAAATTAATTGTTCTGATGATAAGTATCATAAGATATCTAAGGGTAAGGTTAAGGTTAATGATCTTTTACAATAAGAGAGCATTGAACTCAAGCTGCAAGGCGAAGGGCAATCATTACAATTAATTTGATGTAGTACACAATATACCATATACATATGATCTAAAATTAAATCAGATTTGCAGATGAATTTTAATGCAAAACAAATATTGTATCGGCTAGCGATTATAATCAATTAATAATTATTAGAAGTAGCAAGAGAGTACCTTACATTTTTGACATTATTATTATTATTATTATTATTATTATTATTATTATTACATATTTATGTTTATTTATCCATGTGCAATATCTTCTTAATTATAATCATTCATTAGGTAAATTTCGGAATTATCATTTCCTTCGCATCTATATTATAAAGTATTACTATATTGATAAAACTTTTCAAAACAATTCAAGATATCGTGATAAGCGTAAAAGTTGTTTCCTCAAAAACTTCACTTCTGTCAAATCCTTGCTTTCGCAGCAATATTATATTTTTTCTGACAAAAACTAATATTTGCCAAATGTGATCTAGGCTGAAACCCCGATAACTTTTTGCATACAAGCACTCATTTTTTTTACACGCACGCAATTAAAAAAAAAATATGTGTATGATGTATCCTTGCAACTAGCTAAAAAAAAAAAAAAACAGATATTTTTTACAAGTCAGTATATTCCGAAATTATAAGGTATGCATATATTAACTAAGTATACATATTCATCCATTAGCTCATGTGTATAGAAACATTTTGTTTGTTGTCTTAATAATAAATTGTCATAATTCAAAATACTTTATTTATGCCAAGCATCTAACCAATATAGCTATGTGATTTTAAGGCAAGGTTTCGAATTGAAGTCGTGTCTTTTTTCAACACATCAGGTTACACTATGGCATCTAAATATCAATAGAGTTTGCCGACTTCCTGCTAAAGTAGTCACGCTTTGTTATAGTAATCTAATCAAAGCCAGTTACCGCTGCTAATGCAACTATCTGACGATCTAAGGATCTGCTTAGAACCAAAGATAAACTACTTTTTGCGACACATTTAGTCGGAAAACTGGGACGACGCTGGGCAAGTGAATATACAAACACATTTAGCCTAATATGTTTGCAGGAAATGTGTAAAAATTTGATGATCGTTAGATGAAATCGGACACTCCTTCAGGATGCGGTGCAGGCGTGAGAAATGCAACGCAATGGCAACATCTATCGCTGTCTGCAAATCAAATAATCTGCGCATGACATAATCCTTGGGCTAAGCGCATGCAAACGACTTAGCCAAGAAACAAAAACGGCAACCAGAAACGGGCAGCAGCAACAGGACATCCTACTTACGACTAAAGCAGCAGCAACAACAACAACGGCGAGCAAAAAAATTCAATTCTAAAAAAGGCAAACAAAAAGTCCTTAAGTTATGTTGTGCGTCATTTTGGCTGGCAAATGGAATGAAAACAAAGGGAACCAGAGAGTACTGCAGAGGCCAGAAGAACGCGAAACTATTGAGAGGACGCAGTACAAAAGGACATGGCACTTATGCAAACCTCCTTTTTTGGAACCAGGACACAACAATCAACTGAAATGGAAGCAGCGACTTCATCACTTGTTCCTGCTCCCGCTCCTGCTCCTGATCCTGTTGCATAAATTGCGAGCATTCAACATACCTGAAAGAAGACACGCACAGATATCAGGTTAACAGCGGTACGAATCCCACAAGGAGCTGAGATGACGAGGACGTTGCGCGCATATGATCTTGGAGGTGTGTCCCATTGTTTGGTCGCGCTTCCGTGGCAGCCATATGAAACTTATCTGAGCGGATGCCTCATATATATTTTTTTTTGCACGTGCAGCGCTGGGAACCGCGCTCCTGCTCCTGCTCCTGTGCCTGTGTCTGTTTGTCAAACCCGACAAAAGTTGCTCAACTTTCTGCCGTCATTTGCGTCGGGCTCCTACTTTACGCAATTTCGGGTCGACATTTGAGCACTTTAATTTCATGTTTTCATGAATTGTTCAAATGATTTCTCAAGATCAGATTGCCTATCTGTCAGCTACCATGTCCCTGTTCCCAGCTCTGCCCTGATTCAATTTGTGCACTGTGTAATTATTGCGCTTTTTGTAGTTGTTGTACCTTTTATTTCTATATTATTTTATTTCTTTTTGGGACTCTAATAGTTTACTTCCTGGGTTCCCTCCATGCTTGCACGCAAGCTTGGCTGCTCAGCCATTTGGATGTGATTTCTGAGTCGCTTCCTGTTGATGTTGCAGCCGCCTCGCCTTATGAATCCTTCAATCCTTTTGTCTGACTCTTGGAGACTTGTCTGTTTGTACTTTCGGGTTGACATGCTTTTTGCTTTTATGAACTTTACTTTAACTGCTGAGCTGCATTGATTTCTCGTTTCAACGGAAGTTGCCCGAAACGGTTTCCCATTTCCGCACATTGGATGCGTATTTTTCTAAAATAAATTAACATAATATGGGCGCCAAAAATATTAATATAATGGTGATTTGTTATAATACACTTTTCAAAAACTCAAGTTGTGCGCGCCAAAACACAACAGGAAATGCTTGGGAGCATGAATTAAAGATCATATTTTATAATGAAGCAGAAATTTACATATTTGTTAAACTGTATTTAGAGGACTCTGCCAAATTGTATTGTAATTGCCACATATTTTTGTTATTTCTGTTGTTGTTGTTATTTTATTACTTTAACTTATAATAATAGTATATTTTTAATAAATATATTATTATTATTTATAATATTAATGATATTAAATTATGTAATTAATAATTATTATTAATAATAATGCTATTAAGAGCAGTTAAACGGACAATAATTAATTTATAGATAAGCTTTAAGCTTTTATTCTTACCGTTGCATTCATCCAAGGGCCGTTTTAAAAATTTAATAAATTAACAAAAAAGTTCTGGAAACCTTTGTAAATTTTAAATGATTTTTGTATACCTTTGCATTGTATATTATAATTTCCTCATGAAATGTGTTACGTTAAATGTTTTTTCAAAACTTTTACGATATTTAATTTCAGACAATATATTAAACTTTTTTGACCAGGTAGGCTTGAAATCTGAAAAGCGCCTCAAAACAATAGCACAAATGATTCTTAAAGAAAATATGATCTACATAAGGTGCAACACGTAAGTACACGTAAAATGCTGACGACCAAGCCATAAACAAAATACAAAACGTTCACCTAATGACATTTCGGGAGTTTCCCATCAAAAGTCTGGCGCGATTCATAATGATAGGCAATGGCAAGGGTGCGGGTGCGGGTGCGGCTGCGGGTGCGGCTGATGGAACAGCCGGCGATGGTTCGCGCTGCTCAATGAACGGTATCAACTTTTCGGCCATAAACATTAAAATACGAAATTTTCCGCTCTGCGCCAAAGCAAATGAACAAAATTTCCCAAATGCCTTAACCCTTTCGTTTCGGCCGAAGCGTAATTAGGACTGTGGCGTCGTCAGACGCCTAACAACAATGTCATACAATGGCATAACTGTAGTTACACCGATTTTGGTGCACGTTTATGAGTCTTAACCCTTTCGCTCACTATCAGCGGCGATTCATAAAAATGCAGCGAAAGTGCCATAAAGATTGGTAGCTCGAAACACTACCTGGTAGCCATTCTCGGCATTCTTCGAAGACAAAAAGGTGCTAACTACAGTTTTTAAACATCATCATTAGCCGCAGCCGACCTCTGGCCAGGCGACTATGGGTCGGCTGCCGTGCCTAGTCTATACCTGGCGCAGTCGTAACACCCGAGCAAACCCTTTCGCTTTCGCAAGGCGCAAGTCGGCCGCTCAACCTGCATTTCATTTTTTATTGTTTTGAAGGAATTTTGCTAAAAAGTCATATGTTGAACGCTTTTCCCCGGAATTGGTTTATTCATTTTTTGGCCTTCAAGTAGGCTACCTACGTCCTTACCTGCAGCTCGGCTGCCTGAGTGCGACTGCTGTTTAAGGACTTGTGGTGGATTTATCGCTAATCCACTGGGATTAGCGGAATTAGCAACTCGCCGGGGTTGCGATACTTCATTAAGTAATGGAGCTGTACTTAACTTGAATGAATGTACTGCTCGGCGTTTTCCTGCAAATTTCCCTGGTAAGTTCAATTGAAATTGGAGCTGAGGAATTTTTGTAATTATGAATTATGTGGGAAAGTTTGATAACGAGTACAGCTGTCAGTTATGCTATGGACAGCATCAACTGAAGCGAAGATCATACATATTCATGAGTTCCCACGACAAACCCTAAACCAGTCACAAATTGACCGATGGTCAGAGTATAGTACTTACTAAAAATTGATATGTCATCGTCATCTGGTTTACTAGAGCATCATAATCAACAGAAAGAGAGAGTGAGATCCCTCTCTGACCCACTCAACGGGCTAATGATCTGCGAGCTGCATCGTTATGTAGGCATCATAACATCACACGCAAACGCATTCCCATGCTGCACACCTGAGAAACCTAAGTTGACTGACTGACTGACGCTGGTGCTCGGTGGTGGGTGGGTGTCCAGGACACATGCTCATCGCACCCAATCTAGACACCAAGAGGAACTACCCTCAGCATCAGCAGCCAGTGGCCACTCGAGGGGTTGCTATTCTAATTAGACCCTTTGCCCTTTTATTTTGTTGCTGTTGCTGCTATCATCGCAAGCATTTTATTGATCAAGTTACGCATCCGTAATATGAATCGAAATATATAATTGCTCTTTTTAAGTGTCTTGTCATATATCAATGCGTGCGCATTTGCATTCAACGCTCAGGTTCCCACAGCAGCGCCGGCGAGGGATTGACAACCCCTCGGCCAGGGATCGGGCCGCGCTAGGCGTTCGAGTTTTAATCGCACCAGACTTACGGGATCTTGCTTAACATTTATTAAGTACAATATGTTTTTCGCGTGAATTCTATAATGCTGGGCATTTGCTTCTGGCATTGATCCTTTTGTTGCGTTTTTGCCTCTGCGAAAAGCTTGCTTTAAATTATTTGCCCTTGGCTGATCTTGATCTTGGTTCTGGTCCTGGTGCTGGTCCATGTCGTGCTCTCTAATCTGCTTAAGCGGCACACGATTAGGCCACTGCCTCTGCAGAAACCTCAGACTGGCTGTTGGTCTTAGTTAAGCGTGGGGCGATTAAAACGATGCCACTTGAATTTAATTTGAGCTGCCTCTGCAAAAGGCATACTCTAAGCTGGCTTAGGTAAGGTTAAGAGAGTGGCGGGTGGCGGTGCTTGAGCTGGGCACGAGTGGTTAAAGCTGCAGATTTTGAGTGGCTGCCTCAGAGTGGCTTTTGATATGTATGCCCCATCAGCTGCAATTGCATCATAAAAGTTCACTTAGTTCAATAGATGAATGAAAACAATTACAATAAAATCACCCCGCGCCGAACAACCCTTGAGGCAGAGACAAGCGCGACATGTACCCACAGGTACTTTACACAAATCACAAAGCGGCAACAATGGCCAGCGCCATAAACGACCAGCCATGAGTCCTTACGAGGATGTGCCTGCTCGTAATAACAACTGTCGCACAACAGGCTGGCTCTCCAAATCAAAGAGAGACATAGCCAGACTGGGAGAGAGAGAGAGGGAGAGCAAGAGAGAGCGCGTGGCAGGTAGACACTCAGAGCGAACCTCAACGGAAAAAGACCATAAAACCCCAGAGGCGAAAAGTTGAGAATGAGCCTGAGCGACGGCTGCTCAATGAATTTTCGCAATGGCAGCCGCTGCCAGCAGGATCAAAAATCGCTGCCAGCCAGCCTCGTTAGAGCCAATGGGTGGAAGCGAGCACGCTATAGCTGGCCAACCCTGTCTGGCACTCCGAGGCAGCGCAACGACCAATAAACGCGCCCGGTCGCTACCTAGGGGTGATCGACTGCTCGCTGAATGGCACACGGTGGCTGGGTTTGTGAGAGGACGCAGGACTATTAAAACAGGAGCTGGGTGGTGAGCAGACAACACAATCATCCGTGATCTCAACGAGTCCACTTCGCTCGTCCACGTCTCGTCCGTCGTGTTGTTGGGCGCCAGAACAGACGTAAAACTCAAAACCGAACTCGAACTCAAAACCAAACTGAAATAAAAAGCAAATTTTGAAAAAAATTGCGCAAGTGCAAAAAGTGTGTGTGCGTGTTATTATTATCCTGCTCAAAGTCGTGTCTATTAAATCGCCAAAATTACGCCCCACATCGGTATGCAATCGTCGGAGGGTTCGCCAGATATGATGGATCAAAAGTACAACAGTGTACGGCTGTCGCCAGCTGCATCGAGTAAGTATTTGCCCATAGCAGAACTCCTCAGAATGTAGCCCCAACAGCAGCTAGGACGAAACAAACTAACCAAATTTTTTTCTGCTCTGCCGCTTTCAGGTCGCATTCTGTACCATGTGCCGTGCAAGGTCTGTCGGGACCACAGCTCGGGCAAACATTACGGCATCTATGCCTGCGATGGCTGCGCAGGCTTCTTCAAGCGCAGCATCCGTCGCTCCCGCCAGTACGTGTGCAAGTCACAGAAGCAGGGGCTCTGCGTCGTGGACAAGACGCATCGCAATCAGTGCCGCGCCTGCCGTTTGCGCAAGTGCTTCGAGGTGGGCATGAACAAGGATGCAGTGCAGCATGAGCGCGGACCACGCAACTCGACGCTGCGACGTCACATGGCCATGTACAAGGATGCCATGATGGGCGCCGCTGAGATGCCGCAGATACCGCCAGAGATACTCATGAATACGGCCGCCTTAACGGGATTTCCCGGCCTGCCCATGCCCATGCCGGGCGTGCAACGTAGTCATCATCATGCCGCACTGAGCGCCGCCTTCCAGCCACCACCATCCGCCGCCGTGCTCGATCTGTCCGTTCCGCGTGTGCCGCACCATCCTGTGCACCAGGGCCACCATGGCTTCTTCTCACCCACCGCCGCCTACATGAATGCGCTGGCTACTCGGGCGCTGCCACCGACGCCGCCGCTGATGGCCGCCGAGCATATCAAGGAGACTGCTGCAGAGCATCTGTTCAAGAATGTGAACTGGATCAAGAGTGTGCGCGCCTTCACTGAGCTGCCCATGCCCGACCAGCTGCTGCTGCTGGAGGAGTCCTGGAAAGAGTTCTTCATTCTGGCCATGGCCCAATATCTGATGCCCATGAACTTTGCCCAGCTGCTGTTCGTCTATGAGTCGGAGAATGCCAATCGCGAGATCGTGACCATTGTTGCCCGCGAGGTGCACGCCTTCCAGGACGTGCTCAACCAGCTGTGCCATCTAAATATCGACAGCACAGAATACGAGTGTTTGCGCGCCATTTCCCTGTTCCGCAAGTCGCCACCCGCGGCTAGCTCCACCGAAGATCTGGCCAATAGCTCCATTTTGACCGGCAGCGGCAGCCCCAACTCCAGTGCCTCGGCTGAGTCTCGTGGCCTGCTGGAGTCCAGCAAGGTGGCGGCCATGCACAACGATGCCCGCAACGCGCTGCACAACTACATCTCGCGCACGCATCCCAACCAGCCGCTGCGCTTCCAGACGCTCCTCGGCGTCGTCACGCTGATGCACAAGGTATCTAGCTTCACCATCGAGGAGCTGTTCTTCCGCAAGACCATCGGCGATATAACCATTGTGCGCCTCATTTCGGACATGTACAGTCAGCGAAAGATCTGAGTCCAAGTCGGGCCGACTCGAATTGCCGTCGGCAAGAACGCGCCCGCGCACTTGAAGTGCCTTCGTAGTGCTGGAAACTGTGATATCTGAAGTTTGGAGTTGGAGTTGGGGGTAACACTGACTGAGACAGTGGCTGAGACGGTGAATGTGACAGTGACAGTGACAATGACAGTGACCATTGGACAATATTCAACAGTGAACTGCTGCAGATAGCTTACAAATCTCTCGGAGCTGAGCCTTAAAATGTATTCGTTATACGTAAATCAATTCAGAACGTGATTCAAATTGCA